ATTATCTACATGTACATGCAGTAATGGACTCGGATGGAGACTGGAGAGCCAAGGATTAATACTTGTAGTTTCTTGGTCCTTTTTTTCTTTACTATAAATACATGTACATGTCTACGAATGAGCAGCACAGCAGCACACCACCCAACTTGGGTGGGTCAATGAGTCTGAAGCTACCGGATCGCAAACACACTCAAGACTGGTTAGGTGGGAGTACAAAATATGCTGTGGAACGGGTTTATTCACAAAGCCAAATGCGTGAAACTATGATGTAATACTGAGAAACTTTGGCCGATCTCGAAATGAAACGTTTGGCCGTCATTAAACTTTGGCCGACACTCCCGACAGGGGTTTTCAAAAAAGCAATCGATCAGTATTTGTTGCTCTTAAATGCATCCATGGCTCTCATTTAACTCCATGACAAACTCTGGCCTGCGATTTAATTTGGCCGGTTGGTACCAAGCAGTACTAGTAACCAAAGCAAGATGCAAAACCTGTACAATGTACATGTACATGTTTACCCTACTCCCTTGCACATTATCAGTATGAAAGGTAGCAAAAAACACCACAAAAATAAACCATAAGATAGCAATGAAAAAATAATATCAATTATGCACTCATAACCATGTATAAAACAATTGGAATGAAACAATTGGAATTGTTTGAATTTGAAACTCGAGTATTGAGCCAATAATAGAAGTAGAAAGGAAAAAGGACATAATGCAAACGAGTTAAGAGTAACTCTCCACCACTGTAACTAGATACTATATACAGTCAGAAAGTGCAACAACTAGGCACAAAACTGACAGAGTACTGAGACATTCGACGTCCTGACACCTACATGTAGCTTCAACACATCTCCGTAGCGCTAACCGACAGCCTTCCAACTTGGAAGGTTCAAGGTTATGGAAACACCAAAGAGGGGAAGGCAAGCGCAACGAAAACGAGCACAAGCTACAGTCCCTACGGAACAAAGAATGTCGATTGTTACTGGACGATGACGAGACCAGTAGGCCATTTGACAAAGCGGTCTAACTACAATTCGAAGCAGCACAGCAGCACACCACCCAACTTGGGTGGGTCAAAAATATCAAAGATAAGTTAAGAGACCATCGCAAAAGTTCGCAGAAGCCCCCGAAACGAAGACCGTTAGTTTCGGGCCTGACCCCCCTCCCTCCCCCCTCAAACGAAACGACAGTCACAATATGGGCTTCATTATTTCACTTGGATGCTCACACATAATAATTATAAGTATCTATTATTGCACGATTAAAGAGGTCAATATATGAAATATAGAACGAGTAAAAGACCGAGGTCCCCCGAGGTCTTTTACGAGGTCTATATTTCATATATTGACCGATTATGAGGGCAATAATAGATTTATCACGACATAGCATACCTAAAACTGTTTTTGCTTTGCTATAGGAAGAAAGGAATACTATTGTAATAGTATAATAGTATGTACATGTACATGCCGTTTACATTGGACATTACTTCTGTGTAAACCGAAGTTTTCAGTTGTCTCTTGTAGTATGTTCCCCAAGTTCTTTGACTGAGAATCTGACAGTTTGGGTTCAAATTCCAGCATTTGGCTTCAGATTTTTCTTCTTTCAGTTTTGATTTTTTTCTAAGTTGAGGAAAAAGTTCTAAGTCCTCGGGCTAAGTGGTCAATAATAAGTGGTCAATATAAGCGGTCAATATATGCTGATATTTGACCGCTTAGAGATCACAAGTTTCTGTGGAGGTCAATAATAAGAGAGTGATAATAACAAGAGTACATGAAAACCAGAGTGTGCAGCTCGGATGGGTTGCTGTCACGGCGAAATTCCGTGATTACATCATTTTAGTGATGTAGTGCGTACAAGCAGGATTCAAGCAGGTCTCTTTCTGCACAACTGCAGCTCAGTTGTACGCACTACGCCATTTCCCGCCTCAGATCTGGGCCAAATATGATGTAATCACGGAATTTCGCCGTGACAGACACCAAGAGTACATAACCCCCCAGAGTGTGCAACTCCCACATACCCTGTTGTCCCGACAGAATTTCAAGTTGACGTCATTATTTATGACGCAATGCTCCTTGCAGCAGTGATTTACAACATGTGTACGGGTGTCAACGCATCACACGTTTTTCTTTGCAATAATTTGTACAGGATCGATCGGCTTCGGTCAACCACAGGTTCCGGATTCGTCTGATAATCCGTGTACAGTGCGCATTGCATCATCAAAATGACGTCAACTTGAAATTCTGTCGGGACAGCACCCATAGTGGAGTTGCACACTCTGGGGGGTTATGTACTCTTGCAGACACCCATAGCAGAAAAGGCCCCAAGCTGCACACTCTGGTTTTCATGTACTCTTGATAATAATTATACTACACAGCAGGGGTTCATAACCCTATGAGTATGAACCCCTGCTAGTACTAGTACTAGCAAGAGTCCATAAACCACGCGTTTTATGGACTCTTGGTACTAGACTACACACAGTGTACAGGCAGCCAGCTACGCGACACGCGCAGTTGCATGAATATCGAATGGACTACGCGTCCTGACAAGCGATCTACGCCGGCTGTGATGGCATGCTAATCAGCTCCTACATGTCGTCAATACTTTTTTTGAATAGAAGCCCGGTTTGCGATTTTCGACACCGATTCCCTAACCCCCCCCCCCCCCCCCCAAACGTATGCTCTTCGTTTCAGGGGCTTCTGCGAACTTTTGCGATGGTCCCTAAGAAGGGGGAAGCTTTGCGAACAATCGACATTCTTTGCGCATGGCGCTGCTTTCCGCACGTGGGTTGGATTTCTTTGGTCACAACTGTACTAACCCTACCGTGGACACAGCCAATTCTCTGACCTGGCTCGCAACTACAATGTACATACTAATATTATTGCACATGTACATGACATTGTAATGGCCTGTGAAAGACTCTCTAATCAAGGGGAAATAGGCATAATGAACATGACTGTATTTCAATAACCTAGGAGGAGACACTGTTCGTAAAATAGCAATGAATAAAACTAAATGTGCACTCATAACAGTCACGAGAAAGCGTTCGGGAATATTTTCATTTTATAACAAAATAATAATTTATCTTGTGAGCTGCCTTTGGAGTGAATAACTTGTCAGCGCCTTCTAGGTTCAGCCTGGTCCCATAGCTCAGTGGTTAGCGCATTGTTCATCACAAGCAAGGTCCCGCGTTCGAGTCCTGGTGGGGCTGGCGTTTTTTTCTCTTTTCAGGCAGTTTACTAACTACTTCCCCGATCGATCCTTTGAATTTGAAGTTCTCCCAATTAGGCCAATCCTTTCAAAAATAATTTATTATTATTGTTTTATACATGTACATGTACATGGTTATGACTAATATGAGTGCACATTTAGTGTTATTCATTTTTGCAACACTACTGCAAAACTACTGTAATGGCACTATTATTCGTTTACTGCGGTACTCCCGAGTCCCGATCCTAGGCCCTGCCTGTGAGAGATTCAGCATTCTCAATCCCATCCCACGGCAAATCTACGTGGCATTACGTGCGCTTTGCCGATCGTGGGCAAGGCAGCATTCTAAGTGTCGTAGTTGCCCACGGATTACATAATCACTGATCTACGTACTTGAGACGAAGCCATGATCCACTCGTACTTCAAAGTACATGTGATAATGCGTTTTAAAGTCGGTGAATCCGCCCTTGTAATAATGAGTAAACTGGCGCTATAGCTAGGTGCTACACACTCCATGCGTGATATATTTGCTTCGATCTAGACTTGAATAGAGCCTGCAGAGCCGTAGCCACATGCAGGCGAAGATGCTCGCTGCACAGCGCCCGGCAAGGCATTCACTCGCCCGACTGGATTTACTTGAGCGGTACTATGAAGAAAGTGCCATGTAGTTTTGCAGTTGTGTTTGTTAGCACTCGATAACAAAAAAACATTGTTATCTTTAGCGTCGATATATCGAACACTGAGATTGTCGTAGAAGTTTGAAGTTCAGAACAGAGAGGGAGCAGAGTCGTAGCAAAGGATAGGAAGCATTCAGCAGATCTCTCATGCTATCTGCTGTCGACGTGTGATTCGTGACTTTCATATTTGCCGTAGACTAAGGTAAGAGTGCTTGCTGCTGTTCGGTGTTTGTCGGCATAGCCAGGTACAGGTATAGCCGACGAGTGATACCTTGCTTTCTCAGCAGATCTACATGGTCTGGGTGACTCTGCAATCTTGTCACCTCAGCAAGGCCAAACGCAGCGCAAATCGACGCCGTCCTGCCCTGCCGACGCGCCTGAATTGCGACCCGTATTTAAAAGACGCAGGCAGTATTATTTGAACGCGATGGATAGGACACATGAAGACGTCAGCCCGGAAGGTGCGAAGACACCGGCCGCGACAGCCAAGAATTCAACAGAAGGCATGGCAACTTGTGCAGCACTGACGGAGGAGAACCTCATGCATGAACGCGCCACTACCGTCTTGGACAACTACTTTTCGAAATTCATGCCGGGTTTGGAGCTAGCGGAGCCTACTAGTACTAGTACTAGTACTAGTACTACTAGTACTAGTACTAGAACTAGAACTGTCACTCACCACTCGAGAAAGCCTGACAGCAGGCAAACAGCAGCCAGAGACCATGCTGTAACCATGGAAACTGACCACGGCGAGGACCTTGTTGAAGGCATGGCAACTTGTGCAGCACTGACGAGGGAGCTGGAGGAGAACCGCATGCATGAACGCTTCACTACAGTCTGGGACAACTTTTCGAAATTCATGTCGGATTTGGAGCTAGCGGAGCCTACTACTACTACTAGTACTTGTACTACTAGAAGAACTGTCACTGACCGCTCGAGAAAGCCTGACGGCATACAAACAGCAGCAGCCAGAGACGCGCGTGCTGTAACCATGGAAACTGACCATGGCGAGGAGCGCCATACTCACAGGACACTCGCAGTCAAAGGCTCAAGCTGGCCGCAAGCTGTTGAAACTCAAATGCAGCGACACCGAATCTATTCACATATTGGAATGGCCGTGCACCAACGAGAGGAGACACAGCGAACGGACACAAGAGAACGGGCAGACGCTGGCTCCCCGTTGGCTGAAGGCCGCATCAACGACTTCGATATTCTGAAAAAACTCGGTGAAGGCAGCTTTGGCAAAGTTATGCTTGCCCAGATGAGGGAAACTAATGAACTATATGCAATCAAGGTGATTCCGAAGGATGGAGTGGAAACTGAAGAGGAAATTTCGATCGAGAAGCGGGTCCTGACCATTGCCGGAAAACACAGGTTTTGCTCAAAGCTGTATGACAGTTTCGAGACCGCCAGCAGCGTGTATTTCGTCATGGACTATATCAACGGTGGCGATGTCCTGTCTCACATCGAGTCGGGGCATCGCTTTAACAAAGTCGAAGTCCGGTACTACTCTGCGGAAATTGTGTGCGCTCTGATTTATCTGCACAATGCTGGTGTTGTCTACCGTGATCTCAAACCGGAAAATGTCTTGTTCTGCGGCGACGGACACATTAAAATTATCGACTTTGGTATGTGCAAGGAGAACATTACCAATGGTGCCAGAGCATCTTCGTTCTGTGGTACAACACACTACATGGCTCCGGAGATACTTGACCTAGTGGAGTACACTGTATCGGTAGACTGGTGGTCTCTCGGAGTTCTGATGTACGAAATGGCGACCGGTGATTTGCCGTTCGACGGCGAGAACGATCCTGACGTATTCAGGAGCATCATGCACAAGCAGTTACGCTACCCTGTCTGGTTGTGCTCGGATACCAAAAGCGTCTTAAGCGGCTTCCTGACCCGACCAGTACACAAACGCCTTGGATGTACGCCAGCCGGTGCCATTGCAATCAAATCGCATCAATTCTTCAGTGGAATCAACTGGGAGAAGCTGGAGAAGGGTGAAATTCAACCTCCATTTATGCCGCACGATAAGTCCAAACAAGACAAAAGAAGTTTCCTTGCGGACTTTGCTGAGGAGTTCACAGGAGACAGTCTTCAGGACCGCAGCTCATTTCCATTTTTCAGTCGAACTGAGTTTCAACTGACGGGCCTTTACATGCAGTAGAGATATGCTGAACGGAACAGTCGTGTTTTAAATACTGGCAACAGCATCACGTGACTCTGCTAAATAATAGAACGCGTTGCTACCATGTGCCCTAGGCTGAGCCTCATTATTCGTATCAATGCATTTCCATCTGGAGTCTTGAGTCTTGGTAGTGTGTCCATACCGCTTGGATGAGACGCATACACTGGACAGTGTGGTGCTGAACGATGCCGCTTTGAATCATGTCAAGGACCTGTTCGCTTTCTCTCTCCCTCTCTCCGTCCCTCCCCCCCCCCCTCTCTCTCTCTCTCTCTCTCTCTCTCTCTCTCTCTCTCTCTCTCTCTCTCTCTCTCTCTCTCTCTCTCTCTCTCTCTCTCTCTCTCTCTCTCTCTCTCTCCCTCTCTCTCTCTCTGTGTGTATGTGTGTGTGTGTGTGTGTACAATGACTGCCCTGTTCCACATTGCTATGTACACCTCGCAAACTCATGCTTTCATACTTTGCTCTCTACCTCTATCGTATTATACCAGGTAATGACGCACACAAACGATCCTGCGCTTTAAAGCGAGTTTTCCCATTTTTGTATTTTTTGCAGGTTAATAATATTATTGTTCTCACACGTCCATGGAGCTATGAAGCCGAGACCTCTGGTCGGCTGAGCTGAATCATTTAATGGGCCCCGCCACCACACTCCCTTATTCACCCCAGTGTCTGGAGATACGTGGATTTTGTAGAAAAAAAGATGCATGTCTCTCTTCATGTTCATAACACTCTCTTCACAGTGCCCGGTGTTTCCACCGAGTGCGCTCGATTATTCACGCGAATCGATTCATGAATCCATTCATAAATCGATTCGCGCTATTCACATCACCCCATGTGAATAGGGTGAATGGATTCCGAATCGATTCGTGGGTCACGACATGAAAATCGAACGACTTGAATGCATGCAAATGGATTCATGAATCGATTCAAGTGCATAATCGAACGCAACGACTGAGTCTTGAGATGTTGCAATAGATATTATTATGAAAAATATTGTGAAAAAGGAGAAGGACAAAATGTTACGAGTTATGACTAACTGTCCACCAACGTACTAGTAACCAGATCTTATACAGTCAGCGAGTGCGACAAAATGGCACAAAACTGTTGGTTTGCGCCTTGGAGAAGTGTTGGACCTTGGTGTCAGGTCGCCGAATGTCTCAGTACACCTTGTCCGTTTTGTGCCATTTTGTCGCACTCGCTGACTGTATAAGATCTAGTTACGTTGGTGGACGGTTAGTCATAACTCGTAACATTATGTCCTTCTCCATTTTCACCATACAGTAAAACCTGTCAAGGCGACCACTCGGATAAGGCGACCACCTGTCCTAGAAGACCACTGAAACCAGGACCGAGGGATGCTATTTCCAGTTAAGGTGGCGATCTACCTTCGCGGATAGTCCACCGTAAAATACAAACATCTCAGCCAATTCTCTTTGGAATCAGGTCAAATTTTCTGGAGACATTCATTATGTACCAAAGGACAAGGAGCAGCACAAATAGAGGACAGACTCCGCTCATGTCCATTGTTATTGCCGAATCGCGATAATTGGCCGCACCCGCACCTCTTAACCGCAAAATTGAAATATGCATCCATCAAGTAGAAAATAACCAATTGCTACAGCGTTCCTAACATATATTTCTAGGTATTGAATATCAAGAAACAGTTGCAAAGTCCTTTAGATCACCATGTCACAACAAAGCGTTTTGACGCGCGCATCCGCAAAAAAAGTCATGATCGGGTCCACAACCAATGTGAGAACAAGCAATGATAAATGGCTAAACGAAGACATTCACGAACTAGCTGATGCATCACAGAGCTCAGAAATGTATAGGTTTAGGGGTATAGCACCTACCACTTTGCCGCAATCGTGGTAGAAAAATGCGGGATAGGCTAAAAAGTTACCAAAAACACACAAAAAAGGTCTATCCAATTCCAGCCTACCTGCCTACAAATCTTCACATCAGAAGCCATCTGGCTCGTAGGTGACCTCATTTTGGTCTCCTTGATGATTAGTGATGCTCTTCTTCAGTCTTCTTTACTTCTTCCTTGACTTCTTTGTCACTTCCCACAAGTTCCCAGCTCTTCCTGGTTGTATCACAATGGTGTTACTTAGTGCGGTGCCGAGCAGAAACGCGATGCTATCTGGTTTCAGTGTTCAGCTAGTCTTCATTTCTTCTCTAAGGGCTTGTTCAATCAGGATCATTGCAGGCAAAATCAAGTCGGAAACCCAGCCTTCACTGGTGGCCTCTCTCCATGGGTATGGCAATAAAGGTGCTGATGAATGAGGCATATCCAGGGTGCAGCCATGCCGTTTCCGTCACACATCACGGCGATCGCATGCGGTTGCAGCACTGCCACTTTGGTAAATTGCCTCAGGTCCAGCGTAGCAGATCACATGTCTGCTCCTGAACTCATCTCGGAGAACATGACCACAGATTGAATAGGATCGCGTTGCCGCCACAGGCCTTAGTATATATGGGCAGTAGAATATTGAAAACTATGCAAAGCGTCACTGGCGGTGATGAATTCGGCGCATACTAAATACAGGCCTGTGGACTTCAAATTTGAAATTGAATTTCTCAGAAGTGAATGGACTTCTCTTCTCACCACAAACAATGAAATCCCAAGGCAAATATCTGGGTTTGCCTGCTCGCTTAGTAGATCTACGATGGGATGTGGACTGGTACAGCTTGCAGCATACTGATTTGACCAGAAATAGCAGAAATCACTCAATATTTCACAGACTAACTCCAGTAGGCTAGATTTTGCACTCACTGTCTGACGCCGAAAGAGAGAGAGAAAAACTAATCACCACAATAGCTAGAACTGTTGTTGACATCGTCATCATCAGAGTAGTCAGAGTTGGAGATGAAGTTGAAATACGTCTTCGCTTGGCAATTTTTTTGCCAATAAATTTGAACAGCGTCGTCAACGTCAGGGATATTTTCAGCGGATAGATGGATATCGAGAGCTTCTGGCAGTCATATAGGCTGCTTCGGACATCCAAGACGACGGACAGTACTCATTCCACCCGATCTTGGTGACAGGCGACGACGTGAGACGTCTCCAATAGACTTTCCAAACACAATTGTTTGAATTCTTCACAAATTATCGAATTATTGATTTGCGCATGCGCACTGTGTCCATGATGACGTAATATGTGCGTATTGGTATGGCATGAGTCAGCAGTGGTATTTCTGACGAGCACAGAAAATTTGAACAAAATCCACAAGGATTTACCGTGAAAAGACCGATTTCTACGTTTTCCCCCAAAAAGTTGCAATTGTGCGAGTCAAAGATATGTTACATTCGGTCTTTGCAAGCTCATAGCAGCCATATGGATAAAGCAATCTCACTCAAATTTTCAGAGATGATGTCTGGGATCTATACGAGCAATTTGACACCGCATTGGACGAAATCAGAGCAAGTTGAAAATTTCACAAAATTTTGACCCCTGAAGGTAGATCGCCACCTTAAATGACCCCGGAAAAGGAGACCACCTGGTAACAGAGACCACGTTTTGAAGGTCCCATGAGCGGTCGTCTTAGGCCGTCATCACACTACGTTCTCCGACTCCTGTTTACGTCGTCTACGGTGAAAAAACCCAAAACGGGTGGTCGTGTCATCAGACAGGCACACTTCTTGATGCGTACACGCAGTCACGTTTTAGGAGAAATTTGAAGATTCAAGCGCAAGTACGCGGTCGCTTGGCCAAAAAGGCTGGGGGAGATACGCACGTTCATCCAAAAATGTCTTATATACCCCCCCCCCCCTCCCCTCTCTCCATACCACGTCTACGTTTCCTGTTCCCTCTGCTCCCGTTTTCACCCCGTAGGCGTATACGGATCATCATGACATCCGACTAAAAACTCCTTACGTGGACGTAGACGCAGCGCTTTGTACCATGGTGTGATGACAGGCTTAAGCCGTCATCACACCACGTTCTCCGACTCCCGTTTACGTCTACGTCTATGGTGAAAAAACCAAAACGGGTGGTCGTGTCATCATGGTCATCAGACAGGCACAGTTCTTGACGCGTACACGCAGTAAGGTTTTGTGGAGAAATTTGAACCCACGTACATCGAAGTACAGGGTCGCTCGGAAAAAGGCTGGGGGAGATACGCACGTTCATACAAAAAGTCGTATACCCCCCCCCCCCCCCCCTCTCCATACCACGTCTACGTCTCCCGTTTCCTCTGCTCCCGTTTTCACCCCGTATACGGATCATCATCAGGGCATAGCTTAAGGATTTCATTTAGCTCGGACAAATGTCCTTCCGTTTTGAAATCTGTCCGGACATGCCCGGACATTTTCCACAACACATTTTCAGGGTGTTTCTTCTTTTTTAGTAGTAGTACTGAAGTATTCACAATGACTCATTATGTGGACGTATCTGAATTGACTGTAGCAACAACGCGTTGCTACAGGCGGATCAAGTATATAATATAGTGAAGTCTACGCCTGAGACGACGGTATACGTGTTAGTTGTACGATATGCAAGTGGCATTTGGCACGAAGCTCCGAAGAAAGCCCAACCCTGCATAAAAAGGTCGAAAGGTCGCTGCTTTTTTTTTTACTTTTTTGACCGGACACTATGTTCGGTGAAATTGAAAACGTCCAGTCAGTGGCCGAAAATGGCCGGAAAATGTCCGATGTCCGGCCGTTAATCTATGCCCTGATCATGACAACCGACCAAAAACTCCTTACGTGGACGTAGACGCAGCGCTTTGTACGGTGGTGTGATGACAGCCTTGGACAGGTGTCACTGTATGTGGCGGGATTGGGGTCATTCATGTGCCCATTCGCTTTTTAGGTGAGTGTGCACTTAACCTGGATACTTTTAATCCTTTATGCACGTCATCAGGGTATACAGCATGTTTTACTCTTTAATTAAAATTTAATGTCATCCAAATTTGCGGTAAAACACCCAATATCAATTATTTTTCTAGTCTGAGGCGAGATCGTAATTATATTAATAGAAACATTGGCAGCAGTCCACATCAAACGGACACCGGTTCGTTTTGACAGACAGGTTATTCTCCAGAATTCATCGGTGACTACTTCCGGTTGATGATGTGGGAGAATGAAAGAAGCAGCTCACGGCAGCATGCTACCATGCCAGAACGATATCGGCAAACCTGAAGTGACTTTTCCAGCCGAGAGACTACGTTTTTATAAAGTTTACCTAGTGTGAATGCTAAGACTGAGAAACGGACTACACTAATGGATGGGATGGAGTTTGGGAGTCCTTAGAAAAGAAGGAGAATAGATCGAGAGTATTCACAAATATTTAAAAAAACGGAAACTAGAATGATAAAATACAGTAAAACCTGTCAAGGTGACCACCTGTCCTAGAAGACCACCTGTCCTAGAAGACCACCTGTCCTAGAAGACCACCTGTCCTTAAAGACCACTGAAACTAGGACCGAGGGATGCTATTACCAGTCAAATGACCCTGGATAAGGAGACCACCTGGTAACAGAGACCACGTTTTGAAGGTCTCATGAGCGTCTTAGACAGGTTTCACTGTACTTGATTTTCAGAAGAGGGGAGGATGACTAGGGGAGGATGACTTGGGGAGGACGACTTGGGGAGGATGACTTACGGACGGCCTTGTGGATGGCACACAACCAAGGTTGACCTTCGGCGGACAACATGGCGAGATTGGGACACGGTAAGAGGAAAATTGAATACCGGAGAGAGAGAGAGAGAGAGAGAGAGAGAGAGAGAGAGAGAGAGAGAGAGAGAGAGAGAGAGAGAGAGAGAGAGAGAGAGAGAGAGAGAGAAGAGAGAGAGAGGGAGAGAGAGAGAGAGAGAGAAAGAGAGTGAGAGTGAGAGAGAGAGAGAGAGAGATAGAGAGAGAGTGAGTGAGTGAGTGAGGGAGTGAGACAGAGATACAGAAAGACAGAACGAGAGACAGAGAGCGAGAAAACTAAGTATAGAGGCAGGGAACAGGCGGCAAGCCGAGGAATCTAGCACATCAGAAACAAGTCAGACACCGTGTGCAGTACATCTGTAAGCGTGCACAGCAGCCCTTCGCATTCGCAGAGCGTGATGATGATGTCCCTGTCCCAGGGTGGTGAGGTGATCAAGACCTTCTCCACAAACACGATCAGATGTGCCTCCTGCATTAAAGTAACCACCCTGAACAGCAACTCGAGCCTGGCTGCATCCGCGCACTGCTGATACATAGCTTGCGTTGCCAAACAGTTTACATCACACATGGTCAGAAGTCCTAGCTTGTGGATGCACATCAAAGCATGCAGCAGCGAAAACCTCTTGGACAGCGCCTGCGTGTGCTTTCGTAGAGCACCCTTGTAGCGTGCAGCCTTCTGCGGCGTATTGAACCAGGGGCGTCTTCGTAGCTGGGCTGTACGACAACGGAAACATAGAAGAAAGATTGCTAGTAGTGTTGAAACGAGCGTATCTATAACAAACGAGCAATCACTTCCACTAACGAGCAAACTATCAAGCGAGCTAACGAGTTTCATTGATGTGGCAAATATGATTTTTTTAAATAATTTTTTTCTAAGTTCGATTTTTTTACAAGGTTCAAATTATCACCGCCGGCATTTGGGGTTGCTGCTGCTTCACTTCGGACTGCTGTTTGGCGTGGAGATATCTTTTCAGCACCGTCGTTGAGCAGCCTTTGAAAGATTAGACCGTTTTCGAAGATTGCAAGTAGCCCTGGTCTTCGCTGCATCGCGGGAGAAAACCTCCAAGCGACTGAGCGTAACTTTCACTCGAATGGAGAGTTGACAGAAGCATGTCCTGGGACAAGTCAGCAGATGCGGAATAAGACATCAGTGGAGTCCACCAAAGCTGCTACGACAACTGAAACAACTCAGTGTCGTGCAGGTATACAGTCACCTGTAACTGCGAGTGATTTTCACTTTGCGCGGGACTGCACTCTCGATCGACCAGGGAGTCGTAAAAATATTCTACGACTCCCCGGTCGACATGTACTGCCATGTGTACGGAGTACGGTGTTCGTTAGCGCAAACGAGCTGGCCGCACAAACGAGCCGAGTTTCTGGCGAGCGAGCTAACGAGTACCCGGTGAGATTGTTTCGACACTAATTCTAGTCACGTCATCACGTCATACGATCGTCACCAAGCAATACAGTACAACAGTACACCAAAATTAAGGTCTGTGCGGGGAAAAGTTCATGTAGCTGATTGGCTCGCTCCAAGCCTTCCCTTATCTGGACCCGGATACGTGGAACCGCACGAATCCGGACACGCATTTTAGAGATCGAGTCTTCTAATCCAGGTTTGTACAATGTGTTTTTCTTTCCTTCCCTTCTTCCCTTGTTTGTGCGAATGCCAGAAAATGGAGTACACTAGAGGCATGGAGAGAATAAGGAGAAAGATATTTCCTTCACCGTTGTGGGTAGAAAAAAGATTTTATACATGTAGGCACTTCACCCCATTTTTTGAAATCGGGTTTTTTCCAGGTTTATCATCGGTAATCGATGGTGGTGGGTATCACAAGGTCACACAGAAATTTTTATTGAAATCCACAGTGATACCACTCAGATATGAAGGGTTGAAGATAGGCAGTTGCATAAGGCGAAATCAATACAATTTGTGGCACCAACAGCATCTCTGAAGTATTATCAGTGGATATAGTCACAAAACATCAGAGTGTTTTTTTCAAGCACACATCGCTCACTTACACCAACAACCATGTATGGATCGAAACAATACAGATCAAAGTTCAGAATAGTCAAGAATACGGCAATTGTGACCGCAATCACTATAGCAACTCCATAGCAACCCATAGCAACGCCATAGTAACCCATAGTAACAGCTTCAGTTTGCTGTGAAACGAACTGATAACGACATACTGGCAGGCTCCTGCGGGTACTAAAGCGTAAGAGCTATAAAGACATTCTTCTGGCACAAAAACTACAGAGAACTTCCACGTTGTACGCCGTACACAGCAAAGTGGAGGGTAAGTACGCGCGCGCGCGCGCGCGAATTACTGCACAGGACATTCGTGCCCACAGTCATGCCACTTCAAGTGATTCCAAGTTGGCAAGAAGTTCCTCAGGACCTCTGTTGGTAGCTTCTTTCCATGGTGTGATATCTGCCTCCCTCTCCTTCAACTGCGCCATGCAGCAGTCATGAATTGCCTGCTGGTGAGCTTTGAAATTTCGGTGAAGCGTGCCTGGCTGCGTATATCAAAGCATCCCCTCATCGGAGGGTTTCTCCGGCAGCCACTGTGCCTTTTGATTCTTCGTAAACATCAGTAGGCCTTCCAGCGCAACCGTGTCAAAATTTGGCTCTCAGTACGCTTTGAGAATTCGCCCAGGTAGGACGACGCATCGTCGTTCTCCTCCGCCTAAAGCGCATACTTCTCAGTGCCTACGTCCATAATGTCTCCTTGCGCAGCGATGCGCAAACCCTGGTAAACAAGAACTCTACTGTTTCCGAATGGAAAGACGACGCTGAAGACGATAAGCAACGTTTCAAACGCGAGCAAACAACAGTTCTTTGTGAAAAAACACTTTGCTGGAAGTGTACGTGATCTACAACTCGCAAAAATGTACGCACTATGACGTATGCGGGATCTACCGAAAGCTGAACGTCAGAGCAACACGATGCGCCCAACTATCAGCCCGTACAACGAAGCATAGCGCGTACCTGTGCAGTTTTGCGCATGCACTTGACTGGTGCCACGCAAGTACGCACTCTCACCTTAGCAAATTTTGACAGGTCCTGTCACGTGACTGAAGTGCCTAATACATGTGCATAGATACCGAGATTATGCGCCATGAAATTATCAAGGCATAAAGAAGCAATTTCTTCACTATTCGGAGGCTTCCCTGCAAGCAATTGATCATCGCTTTTAATTATCAACTTCTCCACTACTAACTAACTTGGCTTTACCCTGTTGACAGATGTGCCGCACCTGCTTCTTTCTAGCATGTTCAGGGAATAAGCGAGCTGTGTGTATCATTTTTAATTCCTTGGCCCGGCTCATCGCAATTGTCGCTTAGCTATCGCCACTCAGAACAGGAGTTTTGTTACCGCTCTGTGAAATTTCCAATAGGCATAGTGAGGAAGCATGATACGTGAATACTCTCCGCCACAAGAAAAAATCAGCAATGGAATCAGGTGAAGCGAGTCGAAGAAGGGAAGCAAGGTTACAAGCAAATACACAACATAAATCAGTGAGGGAGCGAGTTCTTGCACTCACGCTTTTACAGGTTCAACGTGTGTTTCAACAAAATCTTCGAAAGAGGCCTACAGCCCTCTCCAGACAGCTGTCATACGCTCCGCTGGATACACTGACCACTACTCTTTTACCGCCCGCTGCCAGGTTGGACACTGTTTTCATTGCCACCGCCTGACATCAGTTTGCAGGCTTTCAAAGAATGCCATGTCGCTGTAGTTCAAATCTGGCGACTGAGCTGGCTGGGTGACCACGCCGGCATGCGAATGTCACATCCTTCTTGGCCCATACTTTTTTTACGACAGCAGTCGTTCGCGACCATTTAGCTAACTCATCACGCAAAGTCATAGATCAAAGAAAAGATAATTTGCACATCGCAGCTACGCGTGTCGAAGGAGAACAACGGGCGGAAGATCGATGTGCCCTTAACCTGACGAATCGTCAACGCTATCTACAAAACAAGCGTGGGAAAGCATACGCGCTTGATCACACTTTTGCCAAAGAAAAGAATGACGCAATAAAAAAAATTCCGCCGTGAGTGAACCCATCACAGCCGAGATAGGAGTTGCACACTCCTGGTTATGTACACCCCGATGAGCACTCATCACAATACCGCATAATCGGCGCATATGTACTGGTAGTTGATCTTGGACTGCATACTAGTAGTATATATAAACTGAGTTTCGATGAGGCACATATACGATCTAATACTAGTCATCTAGCCATGCTGAATGTGTTACACTGGGCATCCATGCCGCTCAAAGAGGTCAAATTATGCGAGCACAAAGCAGTGCATTGCCAGGGATTTCCTGCGAGCACATTCCCAGAACTCGGCAGGGAGACCCTGCATGGAGGCGAGAGAGTGCGGGCATAGACACGGCACACTAGTCACAAAAAAAACCCTGAATGTATGATCGAGTTTATGAACATTCAAATCCCCATATTCACTTGGCATGCACATATCGTGCATTCTACTGTCGTGGACATGGAAACTTGGTCGCAGGTCAAGTGGCCCCAGGGCGCTGGCCATACAGCCGTGAGTACGCATACGATCAACATGACTTGTGCACTGCATTAGGGAACGGATTCCATCGGTTACTCGCATGCTCGTTCGTGAGCTAGGGCGATCGTTACTGATTGTGTTGAACAAGAGATTGTTAGTGGTGCATACCGGTATATGTACACTGTGTTATCTCCATTATAAGCCCAGGGCTTATATCTTTTCAACCAGTCCGGACCCTGGGCTTATATTAGAGACTGGGCTTATCATTTTTCAACCACCTGGTACATGTACATTGCTTATCATTTTGCATTGTATCAGTAGCACAGCGTTTCCCAGCAGGTACCGAGACTGCAGTTTTGTGCCTCCTGGTACACTGAGTGAGTCTGGATTTTAGATGTTGGGGATCACAGACTTTCACCACAGCAATCAGCATGTGGGTACAGTGAAGCCTGTCTAAGACGACCACTCAAGGGACCTTCAAAACGTGGTCTCTGTTACCAGGTGGTGTCTCCTTATCCAGGGTCATTTGACTGGAAATAGCATCCCTCGGTCCTGATTTCAGTGGTCCTCTAGGACAGGTGGTCTTCTAGGACAGGTGGTCTTCTAGGACAGGTGGTCGCCTTGACAGGTTTTACTGTATGTGTCACTGTGTTACGTCAAACATGCATGGACATGATCCATACAGTTCTCCAGTATAAGCCCTGCGCTTAAATTGGAGACTGCGCTTGTATATCTTCAAAGCTCTCTTGGAGTGCGCTTATAATAGAGAGTGGGCTTCTACAAGAGACTGCGCTTGTAATAGAGATAATACGGTACCTGGTATACGCACGATTATTGCGTGCCTAGAAAAAGGGCAAGTGTGAAGTCAAGCAATACAGTACCTTTAGTGATACCCATGCGACATAACAGTAGCTTTTCGGTCTTTTCGTCCTGTACTTTTTGAAGTTATTTGCAGTTTCACACGTCCCCAGTACATGAATGTAATCAAAACTCGATCGTTACCAAAAATACTCGTTCGTTAGCTGAAGAGTAATCGTTCGTTCCCTTCACTGCACGCAGCGTTCTGTACGCAAGGAGGGCACTGGCTCCGGTCATTCAACCAGACTTCCATGTCCACGACAGTGTTACGCGGGTACTCCCATGTTGTTCGCAGCACTGTATAGCAATCTCAATGTACCTATACTCCAGTTGGCTGTAGCGGGGGGATTGCGCCGAAACACCTGTCCACGTGGCCTCCACTGCCCTCGCTCACACATGTCCACGATGAACTTCAAGCTGACGCGTGGACGGCGTTGTCGACGAATCTGTTCACATGCAGAAACAGACAGAAGTCATACAACACATACATGAATAGGCAGTGTGTGCTCCAGAGCTGGGTCAGCCGGGTCAGCGACCCGGTTGGGGGGGGGGGGTACTTGGACCCGCTTGGCAAAATGAACCCGCTTGGCAAAAGAACACTGGGTTGGACTCAATCAGGAAGTCCTAAGACTCCCTGATGTACAATAGCCTAACTTGAATGTACCCGAGATTGACCCGGTTGCAAGAGTTGTGCAAGGTACACGTGTACCCGGTTGGTTTGAAATCCTAGAGTAAACACTGACCTGGCTGATGTGTGAACAGTGAATGCTATAAACACAGTATTCTAACTTGGTTTTCAAGTAGAAGAACGACTTTGTACACTCAAAATGTTACTCAGAGGGCAGTGGTGAGTGGCATGACGAGGGTCCAGGGGGGGATACCCAGTGAAAAAAATCCGTATTTCTTTGCCTAACAGGGAACGTTTTAGCTCTCTTTTTGATTGCGGTTTTCGAATGAATTGGCCTGGCCATCCTGGAAGAAAAGTGGTACGACCATGGTCGTACTAGTGGTGCCGTGCGTGACACCCCGGTCATTACATGCAGTCTTCAGGGTGCAGAGCCGAATGGAGTTGGTTCTAGGAAACGGAATATTTCGGACTGCTTTGGAAGGGCAAACACGTTAACCGGATCCGCAGCCGCATCACCTGGAATGTTGAGGAACACATCACGCAAAGACATCAGGGGCGTGCTCGGCCCCCCAACTAGGGGGGTGCACGGGAGCCGAGGGGAGCCCCCCCCCCCCCCCCCGGCAATTTTCTGCAATTTGTTTGCAACCTTTCTTGAATTTTAGAGCATATTTGCATACATTACAATTGCAATTACCCAGATTGAAAATTTTTGGGGGTGCACGTGCCCCCCTGCCCATCGCCGAGCACGCGCCTGGACATTCACATCGTCGGCCACCATTTCGCCCTTATATCCTAGTGTCGAATGCAGGCCTCACAAACGAGTCAGGGGGAGAGGGGATACGTCTCTTAAACAAACGGGCATGTAACAGCCCTGTAACCACATAGACCGCATCCTTGTTAGTAAGTTGTTACCTTTCACTCCGAACACGAGCAAGTGAGTACCCAGTTCACCGTGGGTGTCGACACAGTTCATTGCATGTAAAGTGGTACTCGCCCCGCATCACCGCCATTGAGAGATCACTAAACACACTCCCTGTTACCAGCGCAGGTTATGAACACGGAACATCATGATTTGCAGGCAGGCCTACAAAAACCAATCAGCTAATCAGCTGGTCGCTGTCAACTGCACTCAGAACGAAGGGGGGGGGGGGTAGACCCCGGTGCGGCTAACGCGCCAGAAAATGCGGTATTTGTAGATGGGTAGCGACCGCGTTACTTTACTCAGGGAGCCCTGCCTACTGTCGTGGACATGGAAATCCGGTCGCACGTCTAGCGGCCCCAGGGCACTGGCCATGCACCCGTGGAGAAGCAGTACACACATGCATGTATTATACGCGCTGCAGCGCGCTGGTCGCATCGGATCAGCGTGTGCACTGCATGCAACGTTCTGTACGCGCTGAGGGCGCCGGCCCCGGTCAATCGACTGGATTTCCATGTCCACGACAGTACATGCACATCATGCATGCACTGAGTGACCGCGTTGCATGTTGCAGATATTTTACGAATTTTACAGCTTGTTCTGAGAGAGGCTAACGAACCTACAAAGATACTGACTGGACTTACCTGGCACACAATGTGGGAGAAATAATGTCTGACTGCTGCTGCATGCCGGACAATGTTCATACTACGGACAGCCACACGCCGCTTTGCTGCTGCAGTCAGAACGCAGGCACAAGTACACAAAGATACAGTAAACCAGTTCTGTCCGCAGACTGAGTATTTCGCTCCTGCTCTTGTAGCAGTTCAGCACTCTTGCGTGGGGTAGTGCCTTTGCTGTTTGCGTTATGCAGAGCTCGCTCACTTGTCAGTTTGAGCACTCTGGCAAGGTACGGTCGGGTCTGGTTTACATCTGGCTTTGGAAAATTTATTTTTCATTGCTACCAGGTTCGGCCTCATTTCCTCTGTGCTGCGCTGATGAGTCCACAAAGGACGGAACAGTTCTGTCCGCAGATTGAGTGCTAGTATCCTTTTCTGACACATAGAACGGAGGTGCAAGGCTGTGCAGCTGCCACTTCAAGTTTCGCGCTTTTCAACCATCATCAGACAGCGGCATTTCAGCTTCACCCTGTTTCTATCCTTTTCAAAATGAAAGGGTCGGAATTGAGTACATCATATCCACCACAAAGGGGTGGCCGAAGACCGAGAATCCCAGTGTTTCATGTAAGCCGTTAGTGGAAAAATCCCTCGGCTTTTCACAATGCTACCATAACCAATACTGTACAAGCAGAAATATTCGTCTGGAATTTGATTTCGTCTTTTTCGTCCAAGGAGCTTTTGGACTAAATTAAATGCCGGACTAATGTCGATTTGTCCAGCTTTTCAATACACTCCTATGATCCATGGACGAAATTTAGAACCGGACGAAATCCCTTTCTTTGGAGTTGGACGAAATTATTCACCGGCGAACTTTTCTGCTTATACAGTAGATAATGGCATTGAAGCACATGGGGCTTGAGCGATGAAAGCCAGTAAGGCAGTGTTGAGCCAGTATTCTATTGGTGGAATGTCCCGAACATACCTATTTCAGCATTACATAAATAATTTTCAACTCGGATGGTGAGCCAATTAAAATTATGGTGAAAAAGGAGAAGGACAAAATGTTACGAGTTATGACTAACTGTCCACCAATGTAACCAGATCATATACAGTCAGCGAGTACGACAAAATGGCACAAAACTGACAAGGAGTACTGTGACTGTACAAGATCTGGTTACGTTGGTGGACAGTTAGAGTCATAACTCGTAACATTTTGTCCTTCTCCTTTTCCATTAATTTTGTATTGCATTTCCATTCATTGTGCATATCTAGCCTGTAAAAGAGGCGTTCATGACCAAATATAGCATGCGAGGCACCAAGGTTTGGTCAAGCCTATATTCGAGAGAGTGCTACATAAGCAAAACCCTCAACACAGCACAGAATGCCTGTCACTAACCGGGAACTTGATTCACTCCAGGGGTGGCGGAACGATTGGAGATGTCATTCGGACGCACACTGCTGCTAACTGCTGATGTCACTGTTTGTTCGCAATCCGGGGACGGGATAGATGAGTTTTGCTGTGAGCCGACTTGGCCTGGAGTGGACATGGTTTTAACAGACAACCTCCTCCCACCGCTGTCAAGCATCTTCTCATAATGCTGGGCCAAACAGAGAAAAGGAAAATCGTACGCTTGAACGGCTGGCAGTGGCAATGCAAGACAAAGACGTTCCATGAAAGATGAAAGATGCAGAGATCATCAGTGCATCGTGACATAACGCATAGGGTCAATCTTCTGAAGCCATGCAATTGCCGGTTCGGTCACAACTTTTGTTTCTGTCTTATGATGAATGCACAAGTACTACGGTCTCTGCCAACCATTCTGCATTCAGATCAGTGATGGAGAATGGTGTAGAATAGAACATGGAAGAGCACATCATGATGATGGTTATACATTACCTGATGTGCAGCACTTGTAACGTTAGACTGGAAATTCTCAGCAGCTGCATCAACATCCTCGGACTGACGGTTGCCTGGTTGATCGCAAGCATCGGCACGATCAGCACCACGGGCATCATCCACATCATCATCATCAACAGCAGCAGCAGCAGCAGCAGCAGCAGCATCATCATCAACAGCACCATCATCCACATCAGCAGCAGCAACATCATCATCATCATCAGCAGCAGCAGCAGCAGCAGCAGCAGCATCATCATCAACAGCACCATCATCAACAGCAGCAGCAGCAGCAGCATCATCATCTTCAGCAGCAGCAGCACTACTACACACTGCGGAGGGCACTAATGCATCCAAGTCGTTATCGCGGACAGCAGTGGCCTCTTCGTCCTGGGCAGCGCCGTTGCTAGGTTCGAATCCAATATCCGCATCAGTGTTGGGCGTGGTGGCTGAGACTGTACCTCTGCCAACAGTACTGCCGGCATGAATTCCATCGCCATCACCATCACCATCATCAGCAGCAGCACCCCTCTGATAATGTTCGGTGTTGACAAGAAGTTCCGTATCTCCCCTGCCATCGGCTGCACAACAAATCACAAGGCTAGACAGTTTGGAAAGACTTCGGGGGCTCCATACGTCGGCAACATGCTCACATCACATTCTGGTTATGAGCGCGCGCTCAGACACACACACACACACGCACGTGCGCAACCACACACACAAGCACACAAGCATGCATGCACACTCGCACGCACGCACGCACGCACGCACACACACACACACAAGCACGCATAGACAAAGGAATGAATCTAGCAGGCTGGGGCATACAGAGTCAACATATCAGTCATAATGCCTCCATGGCAACATATCAGTAAATCTCCATGTGAAGCTCATCCACCGTCCGTAAAGAGCTCAGTTTGCCGAAGGCAAAGAGCGGAATATACATTCAGTTCGTGAAACTCAGAGTTACGAAACAGCAACTGCAAGATCTTCTGTCGGTGTATCAGTAAATCTCCAATGCTTTCAGTTCATTACAAAATCTAACACTAAATGAGTCGTTAATCAAAATTACTAACGCCACTTTTATAAGGGTGTTAGAAACTTAAATGTTTCTAATAGATTTCACAATTGAGCTTCGGCATGAGTCAAAGTTCTGTGGTCATGATTGAATGCAAAGGAACATAATATTCAATTTACCTCCAAAAACGTCCTGATCGCGTCTGAAGAGAGGATCAAATTCATCTAGCATGTCACTCAGGGTCGCAGCGGTAGCCTTGGGGACACCAGCATGTGCACTTGATGCCTCGGCAGCAGTGATTGTGTCATTGTGCGCAGCGTCGGTGGACGCATCCCAGTCAAGCAGCAGATACGTGTCCGCCTCGGCAGCTAAGTCACTGCGGGAAGTGGCATCGTCATCGTCGCAAACATTGATATCACCGTTGAACGCGCGGACACAGCTGATGCGAGAAGGTGTCTGCATGGAGTCTGGAGCCTTAGCACTATAATCTGAGTTGGACAAGTCAAAACAGGCACAAACCAATACAGAAAAGTTGTGTTATATTGCGATAGTGGGTACTAGTAGTCCAACTAATTTCTGCTCTGTTTTATTTACCATCGACTACCATATTGAACTCGGATGGTGAGCTAATTTAATTAAGGTAAAAAAAAGGAGAAAGGCAAAATATTACGAGCGATGACTAACTGTCCACCAACGTAACCGGATCATATCCAGTGGACAGTTAGTCATAACTCGTAACATTTCGTCCTTCTCCTTTTTGACAACGATATTGTTATGGTAAAAAAAGGAGGAGGACAAAATGTGACGAGCTACGGCGAACTGTCCACCAACTGTCCACCAACTGTGCACCAACTGCCCAACGTCCGAGTTCAAGTTTACCATGTTGTTGCAGCCAATATCATAGCACCTTCTACTGTCTGATACAAACGGAATTCAACCGCGGCCCATTCTCACACATACAGAGTAATAAAATGACACGTCACAGCTGTAATAAAATGACACATCACAGCTGTAATAAAATGACACGTCACAGCTGCTCTCGAGACCTGATGACCAGTTTTTTCTCGCCCACAGGAAAGATGACACCGTGGTCAACGGGGAAGCTCAAAAGCATGTTTATAGTTGAAGGCACTGCTGAACTGAAGGAAACACTTTAACATGCAGAGAATATGGACTTTATATGGACTGCTCAAAATATCTCACAACGTCTGCCCCTGGCGCACACAAGGCGTCCTTCCGCTAGGATAGTATGTGTGCAAATAACACCCCACCCCGGCTCGATCTTGGTGGTCATACGAACCATCGGTCTAGGTGAAGATGCCCCTCCCTCCTTGACCTGGGTGAAAATGCCCTTCCCTACTTGATCTGGGTGAAAATACCACCCCCCCCTCCCCCCCTCCGCACACACTTCAAATTGCCCCCCCCCCCCTCCCTTCCTCTACACGCACAAATTCAACGCCAGTGGAAACAGTATTGTCTCATGTATGCGGTATTGCTGAAAGTACCTGCCCATTGTACCTGCCGGAAATACTGACCATTGACCCTGGCTGGTGGGCATCTTCACTCTGATTGACCCTGGTTCTTACAATTCCCCTATCCCAGTGGTGATCTGATATGATTATATGAGTAAATATTGTTCTAATGATAGGCTGCATGCTGTTCTACTGGTAAGACCACGACGGGTTCTACCTGTAGGACCCAAGAAATCTCTCTGCGGTTGAGAATTTTCTCGAAAATGCTTGTTGAGATGAGGTCTTTGAAAGGCAAAGCAATGGCGCAACATGCAAGACTATGTCCAGTGCGTTGCATTTGTGCAATTTTATCCATTGCCAAAATGGCCGCACATGCTCCGGTCGGAGGGCTGTCCAAAGTGAATTCTGACCATGGCACATCGATCATGGTGAAGACCTAGTATAGGGCTTGAAAGTGATGATGTCAGAAGTCAAAATCTAACGACCTTTGGTTCCAGTTTTTGTATGGGTCCATACACATTTGGGCAGTTTTCCTTTGCAGCATAGTGACACATCCACCGGTATACCGGTAGTGATTGGACTAGGCCCTCTCCGGCGTGGACCCACACCTACCCGTGGATGTGTCACTATGCTGCAAAGGAAAACCACCCAAACGTGTATGGACCCATACAAAAACTGGACCCGAGAGGATCCAAAAGTCGTTATTTTTCGTCAGATTTTGAATTCTGACATCATCACTTTTAAGTCTTATTGTCTTTCTTAGCCTATCATGGTAGTGAAGTGCAAAATTCTATACTCCACTTCCACGGCTGTTGCCATGGTGTTTCGTAATATGCCTTGCACGGTGACGTCTAAAAATATTGGACTCCTTTATTATTAGGGGCGATTTACACGACGGCAGTGCATCCCGCCGGGAAGAGAAGCACGTGATCCCGAGAGTTTGCCGTGATACGGGAAAAACGAAAATCGATTCACATGGCAGGATGCATGTACAGTACATGTAGTACAAAACAGTACACGGAATGCCACGGTATGCATTTCCACCCCCAGCCCCCTCATGGCACCGGGACCGTACCGGGATAGCCGGCGGCATACGTTCGCGCCAAACTATGAGTGCATGTGACGGACTCCCCATGGCAGCATCACGCACAGGATGAACCCTGCCGTCGTGTAAATCGCCTCTTAGCCCCTTAGCAACAGTTCAAGGTAAGGCTTTAGGTCAATGTTAGAATAGAGGCCATGCAGCATGTCTGTGTATGATGGTCATACCGGTATGACCGAGGTCTATGCAAGCTATCATCAATGCTCTACTTTGACACACTCACTGGGAACATTGCCTTGAAAACTAGGATGGTTGGCAGTCAGGAGATTTGCGTACCCCTTGGTGTCGGCAGATGGTGGTACATGATTCGACGCGTCTGCTTTGGACTCGTTGAACTAAATCAGCGAAATATTCAGGATGAAGACACATACACGTGTACATCAGCATCAGGTGGGCATCAGCATGCGTCACATACTCACACACATCCAGACATCACACATACATGCAAACAAATTCCCATCCACACACACACACACACACACACACACACACACACACACACACGGGCGCGCGCGCGCACACGCACGCACACACACGCCCACACACGCCCACACGCACGCACGCACACACATATTATTGCCATATGCAAGTTGTCATTACTCTCCTATAATAATCACCAATGGCTACAGGCAACAGTGATCGGAGTGCAACAGCATAACATAACTACAACTCACCATCCCAGAAGACTTCTCCGCGTCACGAGTAAAGGACTTGCTCTCTTCCTCCCAGACACCAGATCCTAAAAGAACACAGAGATTCACATTCAGCGTGACTCATCTGTGATGGACCATAGTGTCTGCTCTAGGATTGTAGGACAGCCGGGTACACGTGTACCTGGCGCAACCATTTCAACCGGGCCGGAGCCGGGTACACATGTACCTGGCGCTGTCTCACCAGCCGAGTCAAATGTGGATTCGCCTCTTCGCTGGTGGCTCCATTTCCGAAAACAACACCTCGACGATCAAGCTCAAACTGAGCACGTGCACACACCGGATACTGACTACTTTCACTTCGACGCGCGCCTCTGCATGATCTGTCACACATACAAGACATGAAGTCAGTCCTTTCAAAGTTCGAATGTGTAAAGTACCAACCGGGTCACAGGTGACCCGGTACTATATTTTCAACCTGGTCCAAGCGCCGCCCAACCGGGTCGATTACCCGGCTCACCCGGCTCTGGAGCAGACACTGGACCATGAAAATTAGTGCCCCTGGGGCACTATTCGCACGAGTACGGTATGTTCTCCTGGCATACCAAATGTCACGTGCCTACAATCAGCAGAGATCCCATACCACGCGAGTTGGTTTTAGAGCGTCAATACGAAATACAAGTTGGGTTACATTTCAGGGAAAAATCAACTTTGCCACGGCCGATTTCGACCGCACACAGCATCAAACAGACATTCACTGAATCCTCAAGAGCCAGTTTACAGCTGAGAATGGCCAGACGAGAAGAATTTACAGAGAACCACCAGTCCTTGCAAAAAGGTTGACACTCCTTGCATCACCACCACTATTTTCCTGCGGTTTTCTCAGCGCAGCTGCTTCTTCTCTGAGCCGACTAAAAACAGCTTGCCTTTCGCCAACAAACTACGCTTTGGCAAGGCAAACTGATAGGGGCACATGCCAAACGTATCGTTTTCGTACTTTCAACGGTTTACCTTTTGAAGTAGTCTTCTGCAACAGTTGGATCAGTGCTGAATCATCGGTTATCGAGGTAACATCGGTTGACAGTGCGGCAGCAGCGCCCTCGTGCGATTCCCCAAAGGAGATCTAGACATAGAGCAGTGAACACAGAATATCTAGTGCTCTCACAACATTGCGTACACTTCACACACGCATGCATAACATCCCCTCGTCCCCCCTCCCCCCACTACTACTTTGAAGTACAGCTACCACTACTATGACACAGCTACCCAAACGGGTCACGCCGCCCTCTACAAAACATGGGTGCAATGAGGGGAAGTGGCAAATAATGAGAATCTAGCAGAACTGGCAAAACAGAAGAAACAATGGAGTAGAACGGACGACTGCTGTACTGAAACAACAACCTGACAGGAACAACGACTGAAAAAGAACAGGAGGAAAAACACTGCCAAATTTCACGTCACAAACAAGCTGTCCAAGAAAGAATCCACCAAGCAAAATGAGTAGGGCATCCGAAATCCCACCAGGACTCCACTGGCAGTTCTTCCACATTTAAGATGTAAGCAGCAGGGCAGGGTCTCACATAATCCGACAGACTTCCACAACGCTTGACCTCTTCGCACTCGCTCGTCCACTCCACTGAAAACAACTCTTTCCAGCACTCCACAAATCGATCCGCAATTCCCACCACTGCTATCTTTGAGCTTAGATGACACTACAGCACTCGAGGGACAGCTACACCACTGCGAGTGGTGGACCACGGCTGATGCAGCAGGGACAATATCGAAATAATTCGTCCTGAAAGCTACATCGCGATTCCGCATTCCAATCATTCAGCACTACCATGGCGGTGTACGAGGGTGCTCCAGATTCGACTCTGGCTGTGCCAGAGTTCTCTGCCCCCCCCCCCCCCCCCCATACACATACAGACCACTCATGCAGACCACTCATGCAGACCACTCGTACTAATGCCCCCCCCCCCCCCCCCCTCTCCCTCCCCCCATCCCTACTCCAACAGACCAACACCAGCAACTGTGCATACATACAAACGTACATAAATCCCTGAAGCAAGGTGCAAGCTATCAAGGGGATTGCTGAGACATGGCAAATTGAAGAAAGTCACAAATTATAAGTCTTGATCCACTCAGGCCACCATGCATCAAATCTCAATAGAAATTGACAAGCTAGAACCTCAGATAATTGTTAGCGGCTGCGTCATCCAACTAAGGGCCAAAGAAGGAAATTCTCTTGCAGGCACTTACAGTAGATGTGTGTGTAGGAGTCTTCATCTCCTTCTCCATCTTCCTCTCCTTCTCCATCTTCCTCTCCTTCTCCATCTTCCTCTCCTTCTCCTTCCTCATCGCCTTCACCATCTCCCGTATTCTATTCTTCCTCGCCTTCTCCGTCATCGGATCAATATCCATATCTCTTTGCCTCCGGACGTCATCAGAATCGACTTCTTCGTAATGAGGTGGATCATTCTTGTCGCAACCAGGCTGATCCTATTGTTGTGGCATTCACATACAAACGAGAAGAAACGAGAGTGTGGCTGTGAACATTGCATGACTCACATGTCCTGAATGTAACATCGATACCTAGAGCCGGGTTTTAGAAAAAATCTCCCCAAACATGGAAGCTAGAGGCACATGCCAAAATAGTTCATAGAAATACTAGTGAATATTCTGTAAGATAGCTCTGAACAAGACACACAGCAGGAGTATAAGAGGATGCACTCTCAATGGATCTCTATTCGGCTCACCGAGACTGAGGAGTCGCAAAAACCACCGATTTCTCGCTCAAGCCTGCCAGAAAGAGAAAGAAGGAAAAGTACCTGGCTTGAGTGTGCGTATAGCTCCTGGAGCAATATCATGCCCAAATTAGTCATCTGAAAGGAAATTGGGGGAATTTACCATTCATAATACACCGCTTCTTCTCTCGTATACTCTTCTTTGCCGCTTATACGATTATTGAGAGAAACTTTAACAACGCCGCACCATGTACCATCATTTATCATGTACATCACTCGAAAGACGCACTTATCTTATAGCAATGATAGTGAACAAAATCTGAATGAAACAGACCATGACTGGTGCCGGGAAACTACCCAATCCACGAAACCGCCAAAGCTATGTGACTGTAGCCCATGTCGCACAAAACGTTAAGGGTCTGTGGGGTCTGGGGTGCCGTGTCGAATGGTGCCGGCCCCACATCTCTGCAACAAAGCGTTGAAGGGATATTTCGATTAGAATACAATTCACATACCGTATTTCCGCAAATAAAAGGCCGTCCTCATATACAACTCCTTCCTCGTATACAAGGCCGGAGCAGGGGGCGATTGAAAAAATAAAAGACCGTCTCCGATCAGAAGACCGGGCCTACTAAATGAGTCTTTGTTCTTGTGTTAAAAATAGAAGACCGTGCTCAAACTGTGGGAAAAAATAGAAGACTGTGCTCAAACTGTGTAGAAGAAAATGGAAGAACGGGGGTAAAACTGTGTGGCGAGAAATAGAAGACCGGGGTCAAACTGGGTTGAAAGAATAAAAGACCGTCCTTGAATACAACATCGTCCTCGATTCTAAGGCCGGGTTAGGACGAGTTTGAAAAAATAGTAGACCGGCCTACTATTTGCGGAAATACGGTAATTCCATACATATCATGTATGTGAATCTCAGGGGGGGGGGGGGGGGGGGGGGCTGCGCCATGACGTAGTGCAGCCGTGACACACCCTGTGCAACGTCAAAGTGTGCAGCTAGGTCAAAAAGGAACGTTTGAAAGCAATAGTGTCAATGCTATTTTCAAACACTGTAATGTCGCATATAAAAGCAGGTGCTTACGGCCGTAAAAGCCGGGGTTCGAACCATGCTTCTATTCAAGTTATGCTTCTATTCAAAACATGCTTCTACGTCAGCATCATCGGTCTACAATGTGCAGTGCATACTGCCACGCATGTCCTGTGCAAGAATTTGCACGTGTCCTCGCACAGAGCGGCTTCTATTCAAATTGTGCTTCTGTGTCACGGCGCACTTCGAAAAATCGGCTTCTATTCGAGTCATGCTTCTATACAGGTCATGCTTTTATACTCGACACTACGGTTGATAGTGTGCTACATGGCTGCACACTGTGACGTCATCACCTGGATGAGGTAGACTGCGCGCTCACGTTTGATAAGGAACATCTGACAAGCGATGGAGCGCAATGGCCTCGGACAAAAACCATTCGACTCAGCCAGCACAACAAACTCTCCGGACTCTGAAAAATATCCATTCATTTTTCACCGGAGTTCCCCTATAAGATTGAACGCACATCATACAATTGATGGGGTTACCAGCATACACATCATTAGAGAGGATAAGTGGCACGTTATTTCCGGCGAATGTTCAGCTCGCGTTAATCGGCTCGCGCGTCGAAAAACAACGCGAGTGACCTGCAGCTCACGTCGAATTTCGGAGTTTCACTCCAAATCTGACGTGAAATTGCGTGTCACGTCGGAAATAACGTGCATCTTAACCTCTCCATTAGGTTTGATGGACTTACACACAGACTGACTCACACACGCACGCATGCAGATACACAAACACACACGCACGCATACATGCACACACATTCATACATACACACAAAGACACACACATGCATGCGCACATGCAAACACACACACACACACACACACACACACACCAGGGGCGTCGGAAGGTATTTTAGTGTGGTACGGTCAACCATCTGAAGCAGTGGCGGGTTTGGGGGGGGGGGCGGGGGCGCGGGGGCGGGGGCGCCCCCCCCCCCCCCCCCCCCCCTCAAAAGTTTCGACCTAGGTTTCGAAAAATAAAAGGCAGGGTTAGCTAGGCTCAGGGCGCGCGTGCGCGCGCGGCCTGAAACGATCGTCCAGATATACGGTGCTCGAGCTGGTGTTGATTGTACACACTACAGTGTACACAGTCGACTAGCCGACTACACTACAGAGTACAGTCAGACCTCGCTTATCCGGTCCTCGCTTATCCGGTCCTCGCTTATCCGGTCCTCGCTTATCCGGTCCTCGCTTATCCGGTCCTCGCTTATCCGGTCCTCGCTTATCCGGTCCTCGCTTATCCGGTCCTCGCTTATCCGGTCCTCGCTTATCCGGTCCTCGCTTATCCGGTCCTCGCTTATCCGGTCCTCGCTTATCCGGTCCTCGCTTATCCGGTCCTCGCTTATCCGGTCCTCGCTTATCCGGTCCTCGCTTATCCGGTCCTCGCTTATCCGGTCCTCGCTTATCCGGTCCTCGCTTATCCGGTCCTCGCTTATCCGGTCCTCGCTTATTCGGTCCTCTTTTATCCGGATCCCTCGCCACCCGGAAGAAAACCATTGGTTACCGATTTACAGCATATGCCATGCATACATACAGTATGTGGGTTCGATTATCCGGTTCCCTCGCCTATCCGGATACTTTTTGTTGAAAACGGATGTGTGCGGTTATGCGAGGTCTGACGGTAGTACAGTACAGTCCACAGAGTACAGTCAGTGAGCATGCACGCGCACGGCTACAGAAACACGGTGACCTGACTGTGTACACTGTACTGTTGTACAGTGTGATCCCTGAGCGTGCGGGGACGCGCTCGACGCGTCTTCAACGTACAAACATCGAAGAAAAGTCTTCCGAGTCAACCAGAACACGATTCGAATGCCGAGGGCTCAGGCGATCATCCTCGTTCGAATCGTGTTTTGGTTGACTCGAAGACTTTTCTTCGATGTCTCAGCGACATCCCAAAAGGCCAAGCTCTAGCCAGCAGAGCCTGGATGGATTTTTTGCCAAGCGTTCCTGTGGCGGCACAACTCCTGCTGCCGCTCCAACAGGAAACAGTGGGAGTGATGAATTGAAGTCGCTGTTATTCCCAGGCGCGTACGCAGGGTCACCTCTAGGGGGGTTTCCAACCGAATCGCAAACAATGACCCGTTTTAACCCTTTCTAAAGAGCCCTAGGAAATTTTCAAAATTATGCATTTTTTCGTGTTCTTTGGATCACAACTTCAGTTCTACTCACTCAATCTTCATTATCTTAGGCTTCCTGGAAGTGGAAAGGTACCAGGGAGAGAATGAGGTAGACCATGATAGCCAGGACACAGTACAGTCATGTACATATCCAGCGCTATGGCTATTTATAGCGGCAGAGTGCAGCGACGGCGCGAAAAAATGCCCCAAAGGCCCGTCCTGCTCCAGCGATTCCGTTTTTCTTGATCGCAGAGTTTCGATTTTGTTGGCTGTATTCTCTTGAAAATATCACAAGTGAAGCCCCTGTAAAATTGAGCAAGTCAGCGCGACGAAAAGTCTCAAATTCTGGATACTCCAGTTGCACTGTGCGCTTTCGAAATTGCGAGATCGCGGCTCAACTCACGAATGATTTATCTCAAGAGACATTGCTCGCAGCGCGTCGAAACGTGTTTCAACCGACAGCTGAGAGTTTTGTATTCGACCTGGATATTTGGATCGTTGGATTTCAGCGAGATTTGACTGAGTTGCGGTCTATTGAAGTTTTGCATTCTTGCCAGATCGATCGTGCGCCCTACCAAAAATGCCCAAAAACGTTGCTCGTTTGGAACATTTGGGGAGTTTCCGGGCAACGGGACCCCCCCCCCCCCCCCCCCCCTGCGTACGCGCCTGATTCCAGTTGAACTTTCGGAGCGGACTGACAGTCACACTCCGCCAGACGTGGAAGCACCTGTTGTCAGCGACTAGCCAGAACATGAAGAACAGCGCACAGTGACAAGTGGACATAGTACCGCTGCCTATGTAAAGGATGCTCTGAGCGGTGAGAAATTGTTGGACTCGCATAAATAATTGCAGTTGATTCGCTCACATAACGGCCAGTAATTTGAAGTTTACAGCAACTACGTACAATGTTGCTGTGTGTACAGAAATACTGCTCGTGGTGTGTGAGATTTACGGCTCCTTGACATCCGTTTTCAAAATGGCTGACCTGGGACAGCAGCATGATGTCATCTACCCCACCCCATCCCGGCCGCAATCCCCCCCCCCCCCCCCCCCCCCCCCTCAGCCAAATCCTGGAAACGCCACTGTGAAGTACAGTTTATTCGTGGGGGAGCGGTGGCCGAGCCGAACATTTTGGAAATTTAGAGTCCAGATCAGTGTATTATTGATTCACGGGAAACCTGGGGCAAAAAGTGGTACGGTCAATACCGTAGTGACTGCACCGTGTCCGACGCCCCTGCACACACACGCACACATGCACGCACGCACACACACACATGTACGTACACACACACACACACACACACACACACACATGTACATACACACGCACACACGCGCGCGCGCGAACACAAGAACAGGTGTGTTCTCAAACGGAACTCTTTCACGTGTACACATGAAAAGAATCACACAGACTAATGGATAGGCTTACATCGGTGTAGCTGTCGGATCTTCAATTTTCTGGAGAAGTAATAAACTCTTGATCTCTGCCACATCTACATCCACAAAACATACACAGGAGAGAGATCGGAACGGCGGGACCAGAGCGGCATGGGTGCAAGGTGACACTGAAAAACAAACACAGGATGGCTGCAGCTCCCAACAAGTCTTTCGGAAGCGGTTTTAGCATGGACAGGGCGGTGTCAAATCCTAACAGCCCAGGACAAGCCTGACCGAGAACTAAAAAAACCCGTGCCGTAAAAGTAGAGAAGTCCCCAGGCAGAAAAGTTAATAGAGGTCCAAACTATGGGCGCAAATTTCGGCACAGGTGCAATTTCGAATATGTGAGAAATGACAGTTGTGGCCACGGATAGGTCAAAGGAATCAATCACACACTACAATGCTGCAATTCTACTGAACACAGTACACGGCCGCTTTCGAGATGCAAGTGCTAGCTACCGTATCAATAACTGGCCGTTTTCGAGATGCAAGTGCTAGCTATCGTATCAATAACTGGCCGTTTTCGAGATGCTATTGTACTGTGCTCAAGAACTGGCCAGAAAGAAATATTATAAAGATGATGTACAGTCGAAATGCACGGCATGACATTAAGAGTGCTTTACTGACCGCTTCGTATCGACGACAGGGAGTCCAGTGCAAACTTTTCATTCAGCATCTCACACATCGTTGTGGCAAACTGTGATTGATCTGGCTGTGATGTGAATCCGCCAGTCTCGTTCTTCCTCTTCCCCCTGCTGTTTGATGGTGACCGTAGCCTATGCGGTCTTCCTGGCCGGCCTCGCAGAGGCTGCCATACACAAACAGACGGGCAGACAGACAGACAGACACACACACACAAACAAAACACACACCAGTTGCATACTTTAAAGGAAATCGTTTGACGTCGTGGCCGCTTACTGTATGTAAAACTCATATCCGCATGGTCGAATCAAACTAAGAAAAAGAAACATCTCCTACGGGAAACATGGTATTTATAAAAAGAAAAAAAGGACCAAGGAACTACAAGTTTCACTAACACCACCAGTTACTGAACAATCAGCTCATGCGATAACATGGCACGACACTGACCGACGGTACTGACGTCCTACAACTGACTGGCTACAGCTACCTGTCCTAGAGCTGTTAGCCTGTTAGTTGTAGAGCGTCAGTACCGTCGGTCAGTGTCGTGCAATGTTATCGTGTCGTGCAATGTTATCGCACGAGCTGATTGTTTAGTAACTGGTGGTGTTAGTGGACATCATAGTGTAACTTGTAGTTGAAGTAGTCCCTTTGTCCTTTTTTACTTTTTATAAATAATCCTTGGCTCTCCATCCGAGTTCATACTTGGAAATATGTTACGTAAACATTCAGAACAGCGTGGTTCTTGCCATTCCGGTAAGTTGGAGTTCTTCCGTGTGTATGCTTGGTGCACTATTTGTATTAATTCAGGCCCCATTTCCGGGTGCCAAGTTAACAAATAAATAATAAAATAAAAACAACAATACCACTATAACTGAACTCGGATGGTGAGCCAATTTAATTATGGTAAAAAAAAGGAGAAGGACAAAATGTTACGGCCTTTCTTGGACCTTTCCGAACCTGAGCCTTCCAAGTTGGAAGGTTGTTGGTTCGCGCCTTGGAGAAGTGTTGGAACTATAGGTGTCAGGTACCTGAATGTCTCAGTACTCCTGGTCAGTTTTGTGCTGTTTTGTCGCACTCGCTGACTGTATATGATCTGGTTACGTCGGTGGAAAGTCAGTCATAACTCGCAACAGTTTTGTCCTTCTCCTTTTTACCAGTTAAACTGCTGGCCAATTTGTGCCGAAAACATCTAAAACGGAGTGTTGTGGTTAGGGGTGAAACGATTAAGGGATATTCCTTAACGGTTAATCCAAAAATTATCGATTATTATCGATTAAGCACCACTGACGACAAAACTCACCATTTTGTATCAACTACAATAAATTTTGAAACTTCAAAGAGAACAAAACTAATGGAAACATCGACCGTCGCACAGGCACAAACTGATTCTGAAGGCTACTTGTCCAGAACAGTGAGTTCCGTGAAGCAACCGGAACGAAAGTTCGCGGGTACAAATCAGTACGCGGCGCAGAGAAAAGAGCCGCATGTCACACAACAGATCTAGAGTACATCAGGTAGATCTACCGGGTACGCGTGTAGTATGTATCCAGAGCATGAGCAACTCGCTGTGCGTGCTGCATGCGTTGATTGACACCTCCGTGCACGCACACATCGACTCGTACTCTGGTACATGTGCTGCATGCAGTAAAGTCATGTAGACACACTGCACCTGCCGGATATTTCGTCGTACCGTATAGTATGTTGTACGAAAATGCTGTAGCGAATAGAGAAATCGTAATCGACTAGATTTTTCCGACTAATTAATCGACTAAACCACATAATCCTTTCACCCCTAGTTGTGGTACTTCAAGTAAATTAATCATGTCTGAAGTCCGCCTGTCAATGTGTGTTCGCCCTGTATCATTGTTGTCATGCTGGACACATGCCTATGATGTGTCTGAGTGCACGTGACGTAAATGGCACACGTCGTCGACACGCTCTCTAGAGCGTGCTTGCAGTGCAGGGCGCAGATGTGCGGCCAAACGCGTACGGAATTACGGATGATCCAAAGTTTGAATCCGATCGGATCACAAAGTCAGCGTTGTCACGACTCCGGGCTGGCCATGACGTCACACTTTCAAGCCATGTTTAGTGGCAAACAGCAGCACTGGTGTGAATTGGGATTCGAATGGCAAATATCGTACTAAGTAGCAAATCCTGCACATCTGTTTGAATAGAGAGTACGCGACTAGATCGTCAGTTGAGATGATTCCCCGACGTCGCGGTCTCACCGCACAGCGCTGCACTCGCACTAGCGACTCACTCTGCACTCGCACTAGCAACTCACTTTGCCCTGCCATTAGAGAGGTTCTGCTATACGTGAAACGTAGAGAAATCACGTAGAGAGCAGGTGTCTGGATTAGAGTCTATGGCTTCGCGTGTTTTGGGTCCAGATTTCTACTCGTAGATGAGGTTCTCTACGTTCTGGTACACGCAAAGAAAATGCGTACAAATCTGCTGGGTATCATTCGAGTGCAGCAGAAAAGTGCCAATTATGGAAGTGGAAATTCCCAGTACACATTCCACATGACTTCTCTACATGAAACGTAAAGCAGAACAGGATTTCTTTACGTTACGGGACCCCGCGAAGAGAGTTCGCGTGATTCTTTGCGTCGCGTTCCCGAAACGTAGAGCATAACCTCACTACTAGTACTAGCGACTCACTCTGCACTCGCACTAGCGACTCACTCTGCACTCGCACTAGCGACTCACTCTGCACTCGCACTAGCGACTCACTCTGCACTCGCACTAGCGACTCACTCTGCACTCGCACTAGCGACTCACTCTGCACTCGCACTAGCGACTCACTCTGCACTCGCACTAGCGACTCACTCTGCACTCGCACTAGCGACTCACTCTGCACTCGCACTAGCGACTCACTCTGCACTCGTACTAGCGACTCACTCTGCACTCGCACTAGCGACTCACTCTGCACTCGCACTAGCGACTCACTCTGCACTCGCACTAGCGACTCACTCTGCACTCGCACTAGCGACTCACTCTACTGTAGTGTATCCACTCCAAACCCCATGGAGATTTCCGTCAAATTTGTCTAAATCGCAACTTGTACTCTTGCCCCTTCCTTACTTTTTAGTCCCGTATATCCATAATCACTCTACTCTAGTTTCTGCCGATCCCGCGTACCCGCGCGCGGTGTTCTCACGCACCGTATTGCGTGGTACGATAATGTTGTACGTTCCTATGCCGCGTACCCATTTTTGGCTTTCTTCTTCCTTTTTCTGTATTCTCCCTTCGACAAGAATGGCTTCTCTTCCCTTGGTAGTTAGGAGACGGTTGTCGTTTTTTCTCTCTCAACTTCAGTTTATCCATGTAATTCTGGTGCCCCTGGCTTGCTGTGTCGTGTGGTGTTGGATGTGAGGAATCTGCATGCTTCCCGAAGATTCCCACAATTGGTGACCCCGACGTGATCCTGCCACTAGTGACTCACTCTGCACTAGCGACTCGCGCTGCATACTTGCGGTGCCCATACGAAAATCGTCTGACTCACGCTCGTATACTTGTGTGTGTGTCCACTTGAAAATGTCGATGAAATCATTCGCATAACGTCTATTGAGATTTCTAGTGCGCGCAGGCGAACGACACTGTTTTCTACAATCCATAGAAATAATCTCAAATGAATAATTTTTACCTGATGATAGTGCAAGCGTGAAACTGTTACTTGGGAGTCGCAATAAAAATTCTGTTCCACCACACTTGTAAGGAAGCTCTCCACCTCTATCCTTATTACATCCCTCCTCCATTTCATTATTAATAATTGCTTTCTCATCTGCATTCGCCACCTTTTCATTGGGCAGATCTGCCCGTTGGCAGATCTGCCCGTTTGGTTTGCGAACTAAAATATACACAACAGGCTCTGTCCTTTGGAGCATAGGGCACTTTGTGCGCAGAGTAGTCTCAAACGATGACTTGTTCGCTCATCTCTATCATATTTCCGTAGGTGTACTACAGTAGCCTGACGGACTCCGACCATTTTCATGAGTCATAATACCAAAAATAATAATAATTCCTCGCTGCAACTCATCATACAGACAGAAACGCCGCCGCAAGTGCTCTTTGCTGTACCATGCTCCCCCTGGCTTGGACTGCTTGTGTCGTGTAAATCGGAGATTATCTTACTGACTAGGGTTACACAAACAACAACTGAAAAGTCATGTGTGCCGGTGAAGGCAAACTGTGTGCACTTGAAATCTTGCACTTACGCAGGGCCTGGGCCTCGATGCGGGGAACGTCATTTCTGAGCTGGTTCAGGACCCTCGCACGCTACGTCAGCTGCCCTTGCTAAGTCTCCGGATCCGGCTCCCGGTTTGTAATTGCTTGCGGAGTAATTAGTTTAGTGGAGGACGAGTGGCGAAGACGACTATGTCCTTTGCAAGACAAAGTAGGAAAAAGTACACCATGAATTTTTTTCCTCTTCAGTATCCGCGCCGCGGATATCCGTGCAGTGAGACTACGTCATTATATTCTACTTCTCGTAAGTACTACTAGTAGCTGGGAATCCGGGCGGGAGTAGATCTACAAAGTCATGGTGGTCGAGTCTACAACACTCAACACTAGGTGCTAGCTCGCATGCAGTAGGTAGATCTGTACTGTAGCTACTGATAGGCGTAGATCTACGTGGGCTGCACGTGCACACTGCACCACTACTACGTACTACTATTATGTACTAGTCTACTACTAGTAAGTACTAGCAGTAGCCAGGCATGCATCCGGCATGGCTTTGAAGTATAGTTTGAAGCAGGGAGTCGTAAAAGCCCGGGAGAGGACACGGGATGCGCGCACGCGGACGATGTTTGCCTCGGCCAGAAAGTGAAGCACGCTAGGCCGGCGCGGCCGGATCTGCTCGATCCACGGCGCTGTGCTCGTTTTCAGGGCAGGGAGTCCTAAAATACCAATAATTTACGACTCGTTGTTGACACCATTATCCGAAACTGGTGGCGAAGGAAGCATAAACATGATTTGTCAGACTCAGTACACCATGGTACACATGGTACAGGGGGTGGGGAGTTGACAGTGTGTGTGTGGGGGGGGGGGGGGGGGGGGGCGTGTGTATGTGCACATGTGCTTGTACTTTTGTGTGTGTTTGCACAGTGTTTGTGTGTGTGTGCGCGCATTTTTGTGCACAATTCCGTTATGAAAAACAAATGATAGGTTTACCTTTTGTACACTCGCCAAGACTTCGGTTAGATTCACTGAGAACCTTTCTGGCCAACCTGGAGGCTGAGCCTTCCGTTTCCTAAACGGCTAAAGTCACCGCGTACTCAGTATACGAGTAGAAAAGTGTTGTAGATAGATAGGGAACACACATTGATTGTTTTTAAAAGAATCCAGGCAATATCATAAATCATGGAACGAGTGCGTAATAATTAGGGCTCAAACGGTCACGGTTTTACCCCTGACGGTTAACTGCTAAGCTAACGGTCGGTTAACCGGTTATAACCTATAAGCCACGGCAATCCTGCGGACTCTTTTTTAACCGTATATTTGACTATACTCATTCAAAAAATGTACCCTATTCAGTACAACGCAAACTTGTACATTCTCTTGCATGCTCATTCATACATACTCTCACACCAAGAGACCAGATATGACCGAGTTGACAGCCCAGAAATTGCGTACGCGTGCGACAGCCTGCGAAAGTGCACACTTTGCAACGACCTGATACTTGAAAAATTGACTGAAAAGTTACTGTGTAACCGTTATCTTTATCGGTTAACCGTTAATTCTTCGTAACCGATCTGCAACCGGTTAACCGGACTAACCGTTTGAGCCCTAGTAATAATGCTCTATGTTGCGTTTTGACGATGCTGAAGGAAGGGAGCCGTTGCGATTCACTCACAACACACACACTCGACTGCGATTTCAGTGCAATTTCTTACACAAGTTCATAAATCCACGAGTACGAGGTAGCTCAGCGGATCTCCACAAGAACTTTCGCCCATCACCTGCAATGGAATATGGGCTGTATGATATGACCAGCGGCTAACATGGGAAGTGGCGTCATTTTCCACAAATCTCGTTTCATTCACAACCATTTGACTGCAATTCAGTGCAATTTCTGCCACAAATTCAACTCCACGAGTACGAGGAAGCTCAGCGGATCTCAACACGAACGTTCTCCCATCACCTGCAATGGAATATGGGCTCTATGATACGACCAGCGGCTAACACGGGAAGTGGCGTCATTTTCCACAAATCTCGTTTCATTCACAACCATTTGACTGCAATTCAGTGCAATTTCTCCCACAAATTCAACTCCACGAGTACGAGGAAGCTCAGCGGATCTCAACACGAACGTTCGCCCATCACCTGCAATGGAATATGGGCTCTATGATACGACCAGCGGCTAACACGGGAAGTGGCGTCTCTTTCCACAAATCTCGTTTCATTCACAGCCATTTGACTGCAATTCAGTGCAATTTCTGCGACAAATTCAACTCCACGAGTACGAGGAAGCTCAGCGGATCTCAACACGAACGTTCTCCCATCACCTGCAATGGAATATGGGCTGTATGATACGACCAGCGGCTAACACGGGAAGTGGCATCATTTTCCACAAATCTCGTTTCATTCACAACCATTTGACTGCAATTCAGTGCAATTTCTGCCACAAATTCAACTCCACGAGTACGAGGAAGCTCAGCGGATCTCAACACGAACGTTCGCCCATCACCTGCAATGGAATATGGGCTCTATGATACGACCAGCGGCTAACACGGGAAGTGGCGTCATTTTCCACAAATCTCATTTCGTTCACCCCAACTCAAATAAAAGTGAAGTACAATTAGGGATTTATCTTGCATTTCCATCGCCTCAGAATAAATTAACTTCGATAAACTGAGAGAGAATGAGTGAGGCAGCTGGAAGAATTGAGGATGAAAATAGAGATTAGAAGACTCGACGGAGAAATCGTCTCCGTGCTCTTAGAGAAATCGGAGAATGTCCCAATTAGTATTTCAAGAAGACATCACAATTTTCGAAAATAATAATTTCCTTGCCTCGCTACACCGTTCCCTGGCGCAGCGTTCCCCGGCAGCGCGAGGCAAAGATGTTTTCTGGGAATGTGTGCCGTGTCCTCTCCCGGGCTTTTACGACTCCCTGGTTTGAAGTCAAAGAAAAAAGACAACCCATTAATTTTCGGTAACGATTTCTTGTGAAGCTTTTGCGTTCATTTATTATAAGTGTTCTATTTATTTCCGAAATTGGGTTGTCTTTTTTCTTTGACTCTTCCTTCATGGTGTTGTGAATAAAACCGTTCTCAAGTAGCCAGGCGCTAGCTACTTGTACTAGTACCGGTACTTGTAGGTCAAAAACCGAACACACATCAGTCATCAGGATGACATGATGGCTCCTGATCCTGGCCGTGACTGAGACGACTTGATTTGAAGATGTGTGCAAGGTTTTTCATGTTTTCTTCCCAGCAAAGATTTAAGTAGTTTAAAAAATAGAAGCTTTCACTTGTGACTTTAATTTTCAGTGGTTACATGCGTTGCCACTGACATGATGGTCACTGCACTAATAACGGGAAGAGAGGGATATTTCCAGGAGAATGGCCAGTTTTACTAATACTAGACCCGGCCGGGTCTCTTCATGTAAACACCGACCTATTGTTTACGTACCGGTACGTCTGTAGACTGTACGGTGGAAACAAATTTTTGTGTGTTTTCCGAATACACAACAGAACAACAAGGACAATCAAGGCTTGTTTGCTGCTACTTTTTAAGTTTCATGCTCTCGCAATCATCAGGTTGCCTGATGATTGCGTAAGCATGAAACTTAAAAAGTAGCAGCAAACAAGCCTTGATTGTCCTTGTTATTCTGTTGTGTATAGGGCTTGAAAGTGCTACGTCTTTCCATAGCAATGGCATAGCAACAATTTGAAAAATTCGAAAACTGGATCCACCTGGATCCAGTTTTTGTATGGATCCAAGCACATTTCAAGCGGTCTCACTCACAGCAAGGTGATGTTGTTGTTGTTGTTGTTGTAGAAGTTTATTTAACGTCGCACCACAAACAGGCGATTTCGCCTCCTTTGATACATGTGGACGACAGAAGGAATGAGAGAGAGAGAGGGGGGGGGGGGACAGAAGTATGGAGAGAGGAAGGGTAGAAATAAATAAGCAATCAACCTCAGGGCTACACCAAAGCAAAAACGGAATGGGAACATAATATATGTATGAAGCTATTTTGTATATACAAAATAGCTTCATACATATATTGCAAAACACGTTTACTATTCTTCAGTCCGCTATACCACAGAAACACACTAGCCGAAAAGCATTTAAACGGAGCCATGATGCGCTTTTAGCAGGGCACAGAACTGAAGGTGGCTGGGCTCGGAACGGAGATCAGGCGGGAGCTGGTTCCACAGGACTGCGCCGATGAACTGCATGGTCGCTCGACCCGCAGGACCGGGCCAAAATGGTACTCGAACGAGGTGTTGTGCTGCTCCCCGAGTGCGGTCACCAGTAACTCTCACGAAGAAGCTGGTGAAGAGGGAGCTAGCTCGGGAGAACAGACAACGACGGACAAAGATGAGGAGCTTAATGTTAAACATGTCCTCCAGGGTGGTGAGGCGGAGCTGTTCAAAGATCGGGCTCGTGCGCGACCACGGTGGCAGACCGAAGAAGCCGCGGATAGCGCACTTCGTTAGACGTGTGAGGGGCTCCATGTTGCCAATTTGAAGTGACGGATAAAAGGCGTTGGAAGCGTACGACAACCTACCCTGGATCATCGACCTGTAAAACAGGATCTTTGACGCCAGGGTGAGGCTTCGGCGGCTCCGCCACAGCGCACCTACTGACTTCCGCACCTGCTGGATTGTGTGATTGACGTGAGGCTCCCAGGAGAGCTGCCCATCTACCATTACGCCCAGGTACCGCGCTTGTTCCACAACTGCAAGGGCTGCATTCCCACAGCGAATTCGAATGTTATCTGTGTCAGGGGCTGGGCCTCTTGGGGTAATCAACAGAGCTTGCGTTTTCTTTTGGTTCAGCATTAGTCCGCGGTCCTCCAACCACTGCGACAGGCCAGTGATGGCTGTGCTTAGAGAAGAGCACACTTGTTCGCAACTGCCCGAGGCTTCAATTGCAATGTCGTCTGCAAATTCCTGGTTTGTGACCTGCTGGGGCAAGCAGCATCGAAGGTTACGGATGTATAGTGTGAACAGGAGGGGGCCGAGGACGGATCCTTGCGGCACCCCTCGACTGCATGCGACGTATTCCGAGCAATTTCCGCCCACGACTACGCGTTGAAGCCGCTCACTCAGGTAACTAGTGAACCATAGCTGGACAGTACCGCCGACCCCAATGTCGGATAGCTCCTGTGCCAAGATGGTGTGTTTGACACAGTCGAAAGCCTTCGACATATCCACGAATATCACACCTGTGAGTTTGCGCTCATACTTC